CATTATTTTGCATTTCCCATATTTTCTCCATAAGGTTGCCCGTAACCCTGATGCAAAGGTTGCAGACAAATTTAAAATTGGTGAGAGTGGAAAGATGACAATTTTCTCCAGGCTTCTAAGCCTAAGCTGGAATTCCCCATAGGCAGTTTATGTTTGATTTTCAGGCCATAAAGATTATTAGCATGGAGCAATATGTGCTGGGGAAGCCATATGCTGCAACTTCTGAGTTTTTTAGGGCAGACTTTGTATTTCTAGATTTTACAAGGTCCTGGAACATGGTGGCTTATGAGCTAAAAATCATGGAAAAAAGTCTCGACAAAAAGAGAATAAAACTATACTTCCTATAACTGTTTAATATTTTTCACATTCATATCCAAGTTTAATATTTTGCTGTAGTTATTTTCATAGCTTTTGCCTCTGAAACAAGGTGTAGAAGTTAATTATAAAATATAGATTAATGTAAAAATGCTCTGTTATCAGTCCAGCTATATAAGAATTTTATGCTAATGTGGAGCTGTAACAGGAGACTTTTCAGATCTGTGTTTACTTTTCCATCTAAGTTCTAGGACTAACAGGTTGTATATGCCTTTTTAAATGTAAAACACTGATTAAAGACCTAAGTTTTCCAAATGGAAGTGACTTCTCAAAGCCTTAGCAATACTGACATCAACCACAAGATGGCTTCATTGCTTTAAAATTCAAAGTGAATGCCCTCTCACCCTCAGTATAGAACTTGGATATTTTTAAAAAGAAAAATGATTTTAAAAAGTTTTAAGTTTTAATTTAAATAAATTGTATCGTGTTTCATATATTAACCTATATGAACCTATTCTATGCCAAATAATACGATTTATCTGTGTTCCCTTTAGTGAATTATTAAAATTAAACATGCACTTTTAATTTTAGAAAAATGGATTACTGAGACGCTGATCTTACCATGCTTTATTTATAAGTGCTTATTGGTAATTATTAATAGGACTTCTGTGGAGTTTAAAAACAAACTGCACATAACAGTATATGTGTGACAGTATATGTTAGACGGA